CCTATTTTATTAATTATGTTTTTTCTTCTATTTTTAGAAAAATTGGTTTATTAATTAGCGACCTGACTATTCTTGGTGAGCAAACGAAAAGTTTTGATCAACTTATTGATGCTGATGAGAACAAATTTCCAATTGTGACACACATACATTATGATCCCCAATCGTTTGGCAGTTATGATTTAAATGTTCCGAACACCACTATTGTCAGACATTATAATATAAATCAAAAGAATAATGAATTATTAGCGTCGAGGACCTATAAAAAGAAACCCAAGATTATAATCAAATATAAATATCACATTAATTTGAAATCAATGCTTAATAAAGCTCTTACATATGCAGTTGGTTATGGTGGTGGCCCTAAATCCAATAATGAAAAATGGATGCTTATATTAATACTATTGTTTATTTACTCTCTTCAAAAACAAACAAATAACAAGCCAAAACAATACAAATAAGTTAATATGATACCTGATATCTATAAGAGCTTCAAGTAGCTTAAAAATAAATATATATATATATATATATATAATAAAATTGAATTGAATCAAGTGAGTATATTTAGAATAATTAGCATGTCAATCGTAGAGTCCAAGGTGTATTTATAAGGATATAAATCCACCTCCAAAGACTAAATCATGGAAATTGTGTTGGCCGTATAAAATCTTTCCATAGGCGTATTTAACCTCCGCCGAGAATTCTGACAAGCACCAAGGGGCCGATTCCAATGTAGGCTAACATAATCTCCTCGATTTTATGAGTAGCTGGGATTTCTGGACAGATTTCCACACATAACATAACATGGACCAATCGACGAACGGGGATATAACTCAGCCTAAGTTTCCTTTCCGTCCCCCACTATGAATGAGCTTTCTTGAATTATTATTATTAAAAAAGCCTAAATTTAAAGACCATTTTTGAAATCGAGATGTAATATTGAAAATGCTTTTGACAATTTACTTTACAAACAATAAAGAAAAAAGTTTGAAACCATATGATTGTCACCAAGGTATATTCATAAGGTAACCGTATCAAGGCAGCTGATGGTAACATTATATGTCAAATAGAATTTTGTTATTTTAATTCGCCGGTAGATGAAAAGAGAATTTAAATTTAAAAACAAAAACAATGCGTTTGAATTTTTTTATTTTTATTGAAATACATGTTATGAAAGAATTAAAAAAACCAATGAGAAAAGAAATATAGTCGGACGGCGATAATATAAATCTGGAATATTGGACTTAAATTTTTTGCGGAGCAAAACTATGCGGTGATTATCTTATACTTCAGCCTCTAACAATACCATAGTTATGACCTTCATAGAAAACGAAATAAAGTTTTTTGGTCCATTTCAAAATATCATTGCCAAAACTATTGGTTTTGCCTTTGACCAGAACGGAAAGAACATCATTACTTAATGAAGTACAGATGGATGGGCACACAGATATGACTTGAATTTCAGTTGATACAACAGATAACATAAGAACAAACTCTACCCTTAAAGAAGATGAAATTTAAACAGACAAAAGATAGTGGAAACATAGTGGATAGTGGAACAAAATTCTACATCCAGTATATTTTGTCTGTATTTGTGAATCTTGGAGCAGTTACATTTTTGCTTGATTTCCAACACCGAAACACGTTTTGTATGCCTTTATAATGGTATTTCATTTGTTTCGAATTTCATTTGGAGTCCATGGAATGCATTAAAATTCAAGGATAAATAGTCAACGTCCGGTTCCGTTCCTAAGCTCTTCATTGAATTTAAGTCGCTGTTTGATGTTATTTTCCATTCACCAATCTGAATTTGCACAAACATTCACAATTTTAAAAATTAAAAATTAACAAAAAGTAAACAATCATGTTTAATATTTCAAAATGCTGAATTCTGATTGGTTGAATGAAATTCGCTTCAAATTTGATATGTTACGGCGAATCAATTATTATTCGCCTTGTTAACTATTTTGACATATCATGTTCCCAATTCGCCGATGCGGCTACCTTATGTATCTACCTTGATTGTCACTTACACCTTATTAAATACACCTTGGTAGAGTCAATGTGGATTTTTTCGTTATTCAAAATTATGGGAGGGCATAAGAAACCAAAGAGTATTTATAAGGTGAAGGTGAAGATAGTCATAGGTCTACCGACTAAAAATATAGCTGATAAATAAAAAATGCAATAAATGCCAGTCTTATGGAAAGAATTTATCCAAATATATTCAGCCTTATTCTGGACATTCGATAGGGAAAGATCTCGTTTGTGAAACATTTTTCGCTTTCACATTCTCGCCCTATTCTGGATGATGACTAGGGGAGAAGCAAAATATGCGGATTCGAATTTTCGAAAATGGTGGTTGAAAAAAGATTTGTGTTGAAATATTGTAATTTAAGTTGTAATGTGTGTTGTCCGTTGTAATTTAATTTCGTGATATTTTTAATATTTTATTTATTGATTGTTTTTACTTTTTATTGTATTTTAAACTTTATAACAATATAAATTTGAAATGACAAGAATCTGCTTAAAAATTGCTTTGTAATTAAAATAATACATACAAATGGCAGCTGTTTATTGTTTTGATGCAATTTGGTACAACAACTACAACAGATTACAAATAAAATAACATGTTTATGATGGCAAAAACCGCATTGAACGATGTCAAAGGCACATTTATTTCAAATCATGGCCATAATATATTTTTCATAATTTTTATTTGAGTGTTCACTGTTAATCGTCTCATCAGGCAAATTTTTCATATAATAAATATTTTGTAGATATTTTTCTTCAAAATATTTAATACATATATTTTGGAAGTGAGCTCCCTTTAAATTTATTAGCGAAAAAATTCGCACAAAATGTAATCACATTCTCCCTCTTCCTGTAATCCAAAATAACTATTTTTTCCCCCAAAAATGACTTGTTCTCTGATTATGAGATGACCTTTACTAAATTTGACCTTTTATAAATTTTTGACCTAATGGGGATTGAAATGAGTGAAATGTGTAGATATACGTAAATAAATAACAGCTATCAAATCAACTTTATATAATTTTAATAAAATACGTTTATATTTATCGATCTTAAATGCCAATTCTAAAACGCATACGTCAAATATTATCCACTGTATTTGGGAACATGTCTGAATGTGCTTTTAGATTTACGAAATTCACTCGATTTCAAATGTCAATTCCATGGCATATACATCAAATATAATCCACTGGATTTGTGAAAATGATTATAGTGACGTATACGCTATGGAATTGACATTTGAAATCTAGTGGATTTAGTAGTCTAAACGCGCTCTAAGTCTAAAAAGCTAGGATTTGTGTACGTCGTTTTAGAAACCAGAGTATAAATGCGTTTTAAACGTGCTTTAAATAACATCGACTTTAAGCCAAGCAGATGCGAAATATTGAAGTTGAAAACTACTGAAAATAATATTTTTAAAACCAATTAAAAATTCATGTTTAATGAATGTTATAGAAAGTTTACATTGTATCGGATTTCATTAACCCAGTGGGTTTTAATTGTCAATTCCATTATATATGACATACGTCCTCTTTGACCATACGTCCTCTTTTTTTAGAGGACAATCATCTATTTTAATTTATGTCCTCTATCTGTCATCTATTTCTATAATCTGTCATCTATATTTGTAAAAACTTGATCAATATTTATTTTTGTATACTAAAACAATTTAATAAATTTTATGAAATTTCCGTGAAATATTTAGTCTGCTCCAGTACTTTTTTAATAGTAAAAGCGATTTTACATATAACATTTAATCATGAAAACATACGAAAAAATACAACTCTCTCATAATGTACCAAAATTTGCAACTGTTTTCACATGTTGTTTGTTTTTATATTCGACGGCCAAAAGAAAAATTAAAAGAAAACAACAATTATTTATAGAATTTCTGTGATTTTAGTTGATTTTTTTTACATTCCAAATAATCACAGCATTACAAAAACAATTGCATTGCATTTTTCTTTTCATTTTCAAATTGCAAACAAACATCAGCTGGTCGGCATTTATATCATGATTAAAGGCATGTGTAAACAATTGGGGTGTATTTCAGGATTTCGTTAATCGAGTCGATTTAAAATCTTGTAAAAAGGAAACATTTCAAAATCGCTCTCAGAGTAAAAAATAATTTGAAAAGATCGGGAAATCAAATCTTGTAAATATGCCAAAATTAATACTTAATACAAAATTAATATACCAATACTTCAAAATCAACATAACAGCCTTATATAAAGATCACAAGACTATTCGCTTAGGACAAAAAAATTGATCGAAATTAAAGAACTTTAACCCTTTTTTTATATTTAGAAGTAAATCAAAATGTACGTTATATACACACACCATGATTTTTATTAAAAATATACTATTTTCATTTTCAAAATCTGGTCGACTTACAAATAAATGTAAATACCGTTTTATATGCCGTTCTTTTGAATTGTGTATCGATTTCTTTTTAAAATTTCCATTTAATTATTGTTAACCATTTATATATTATTTTTAAAATTTCAACAATTTAAATAACCTCTGTTTTGTTGAAAACCGCCTTCATATGTCGCACGCCGTTCTTTAGGTGCACTCAATCGTGTGTGTCATTCATGGGAAATTTCCCCATTGATAACACAAGCAAATATTCCCGCCTCTTCGGCGTGTTGATGCAACAAAAGGTTTGCAAATTACAAGCAGCAAACATTCATTCTAAAACAAAGCCGTCGCATAGATAAGTTGTTACATCTGCTGGTTTCGGAGAAGCAAAAAATACGTTAACAAACTGAAAAGTCAATATATTGTCAATTTATTTAACTTAATAATATACATACATTTATATAAATTCATTCCACAATGCCTGGCATTCCTGCACTATCAACTGGCGTCATACCGGTAAGTACACCCATTGATCATTCAACAAATGTTGCAAATGTTGTGAAATTGCAAAAATGTTTGTTTTGTTTGTTTAGCGAATTATGTCTGGCGAAGAAGTAGAAGGTCCAGTTTTTCAGATATTGGGTGCCAAAAGTATTAAAGGCGGTGAATCGGAACGTGTCCGTCTATTGGTATCCGATGGTAAATATTTCAATAGTTATGCTATGATGGCGACCCAATTGAATTCAATGTACCACGAAGAAAAATTACATGAGAGGACCATTGCTCGCGTGGATAAATACATAACATCTGTGGTCAATAAAAATGATGCTGGAAAGTAAGTAGCAGACATTATATTGTTGATTTGCTGCAAGACAGGCTTAACTCAAAAAAATGTGATTTTTGAGTTAATGATGCAAGATTGTTTGCTATAATAGACGTCAAGTTGTGTAAAAAAATCATATGAATATCTCTTACTCTAATTGAGAAGCTGATGAAGTTCCTCTGTCCCATATAAAGTGTAAGTAAATTGAAAACTTCAAACGCATTTTCTGCAAAATCGTTTTTTTTTTTAGTTATGCCTGTCTTGCAGTAAATGAGCGATATGTATATATCTTTCGTGGTTATATTTTTTAGATTTGTGTTTATATTTCTAGTGATGGAGATTTTAATTGCTCTAATTTCAATGATCAATGATTCACTCTAATATCTATATATTACCATTATATTTCCCAAGCAGGGTCTTTTGGAGTCCGTATGAATTTTATGAAGGATTTTTGTGTACAAAATTATCTATCTTTGCTTTGTCATACTCCTTTTTATACCCTTCACCACACTGTGGTACAGGGTATTCTGTCTTCGTGCATATGTTTATGACAGGCAAAAGGAAACGAGATGGACGCATGGTTCCTTTTGAGAATATGCATAGAATCACTTTCTAAGTCGATTTATGCATGTCCGTTCGACCGCCCGTCTGTCTGTCCATGTTAAATTGTAAACAAAGTACAGGTCGCATTAATGATCCTAATTGGATGAAATTTGGCACAGCTCATCTATTTGGCCCAATGACGAACACTATTGAAATTGGAAAAAATCGGTTCAGATTTAGATATAGTTCCCATATATATTTTCGTCCGATTTAATGTAAAAGGTGTACCAAAGTCCCTATAAATCTTCCGATTTGCACGAAATTTGGCATAGATAGCGTACGGAATTAAGTGTATAATGATGTAAAATTTCGTGAAAATAGGTTCAGATTTAGAAGTACAGATACAGCACATATATTTCCGACCGACTTAATTGGGTTCCAAATATTCAACGGGTGTCCAATTGATATTTGTTTTGAATCGATTTACATAATTTTGTCCCATTGTATATAAATATCACATATTTTTGTTCATCCAATTTAATGTTAATGGCCCTTCTGTTAGGATGCATCTTTTAAATATACCCACAGTGGTGAAGGGTATCATATAGTCGGCCCGTCCTTACTAGTTTTTCTTACACATGTTTTTGACAAACATTCTGGACTTGAATTCAGAACGCAATCCAATGTTTGACCGATGACTAGGAGACTATGTCATTGTAAATTGTGTGCTTTTAGGACACAAAAATATCAAAAACCATCAGGTCGTAGTTTTTGCCATAAAAAATAATAAATCTTCATTCAGGTCACGGTTTTTCTATAAAAAACGTAGACCCTCAGGTCGTAGATGTTTACATAGAAAAAAAATCACAAAACCTTCAGATAGTTGTTTTTTTTTATAAATTGGGGGCCTTTTGAATTCTTAATTACAAAAAAAAATATATAAAAATAAATAAACAAAAAACAGATGTTTGGACAATTTAAGAGGTGAACAGACGTTATATATCGTTCCATTAACTCGCGTGCAATGCGTATTGAGGCAGCTACACAATCCTAAACTCGTTTGCAACAAAAATACCAAGTTTGTTCCTTTAACTGTGGATCTTGAGTTGCTATGGATGTCGGATGTTTTTCAACGAGTGTATCCGCTTTGTGTTCTTAAACTGATTGTTGTTAATGTAGCAGCAGTACTGTTTTTACATAATGGGCTTAGGTGGTGACCGTCGTTGACCGCGACAAATTCTGATCATTAATCCCACGGCGAACTTTTTCATTTTCACTTCATTATCAGACCGCGAATATGTTCCTAATATATCTTCCGTTTTCCTCTTCTTTAGACGTGTTCTAATCATTTTGGAAATGACCATTCTTATGCCTGGCGAACAAGTGAAAGAGAAAATTGGCGAACCTACTAATTATCAAGATGCATTGGGAAAAGGTGGAGCTGCAACTGCTGCTCCTACTCCCAAAGCTGTCGAAAGCAAACCAAAACAAGTATATACCAATCACAATAACAACAACTTGGATTCAACAATCAATTCCGGTCTAACACATCCAATTGCCAGTCTTAGTCCGTATCAGAATAAATGGGTTATTAAGGTACGTGTTACAGCCAAATCGCCCTTGCGTACTTGGAGTAATGCCAAGGGTGAAGGTAAACTATTCAGCATCGATTTAATGGATGAATCTGGTGAGATACGTGCCACAGCATTTCGTGAGCAGTGTGATAAATATTATGATATGATTGAGGTGGACAAACTCTACTATATCTCCAAGTGCCAATTGAAACCGGCCAACAAACAATACAGTACACTGAAAAATGATTATGAGATGACCTTCACCAGTGACACAGTTGTCCAACCCTGTGAGGATGATGATGACAGCGGAGTACCGGTGATCAAATACGATTTAGTTCCCATTTCCCAGGTGGCTAATATGGAACCAAAAGCATCCGTTGATATTGTTGGAATTTGCAAGGATGTCGGCGAATTGCAGTCCTTTACGTCGCGTACTACAAACAAGGAGTTTAAAAAACGCGATTTGACATTGGTGGATACCAGTGAAGCGGCTGTAACTGTCACCATATGGGGAGATGAAGCCGTCAATTTTGATGGCCACGTACAACCAGTGGTTTTGGTAAAGGGTGGCCGTATTAACGAGTACAATGGCGGGAAGTCTGTTAGCATTGGTAATGGTTCGACGTTGAAAATAAATCCAGATATACCAGAGGGTCACAAGCTACGTGGTTGGTTTGATAATGGCGGTGGTGCCAACATAACCAATTCAGTCTCAGCCAGGTATGACAAATGTTTGCAGTATTAAAAAAGTTTATTCTGTTATTAATTCTTCGAACATATCTTATTTTAGAACCGGAACTGGTGGTGGTTTCAGTACAGAATGGCGCACGTTCCACGAGGCTCGAAACCTGGGTACTGGCGACAAACCCGACTATTTCCAAACAAAGGCCGTTGTACATTTGATTAAGAGTAATAATGCCTACTACAAAGCTTGTCCCCAACCCGATTGCAACAAGAAAGTTATCGATGAACAAAACGGCCACTATCGTTGCGAGAGATGTAATGCCGATTTTACCAATTTCAAATATCGTCTTTTGATCAATGTTAGTAGGCAGCAAAGCATTTAAATTCGATACAAATTTGTAAAATCCATTATTTGCTATTTTTCTCCAGATGAGCATTGGTGACTGGACTTCAAATCGTTGGGTTACATGCTTTAGTGATATGGGCGAACAGCTATTGGGACGCAGTGCCCAAGAAATTGGTGAAGCATTGGAAAATAATCCCACAGAAGCTGAAGAAATTTTCACATCAATAAATTTCCATTCATATGTTTTCAAATTGCGTGCCAAAGTTGAAACTTATGGGGTAAGATATATTATATCTGTTAAATTTGATTTCAGAAAATAATAAATATATATATATTTTTAAATTTTTCAATAGGATATGAGTCGCAGCAAATTAACCGTACAATCGGCATCTCCAATCAACTATAAAGAATATAATAAATATTTGATTGACAGTCTGAAAGAAATGACTGGTATTAATAAGGCTTAGTTTTAGAATTACAAAACAATAATTATACATCCATACACATACTATATTTCCGTTTATTTACGCATCTTGAAATCTATATGATTTTTTATTGTAATTTTTTATCATATTTTTTGTACTGTTTTCGTTTTGTTGTAAACCCGGAAAATTACATTGTAATTAAATATTATTTGAACTTAATTTTGGAGTTATATATTTTTATGAGAACCGAGAAGTTCTGAGAAGCAATAAGAAAAATAAAATATATTAAAATTATTCAAACCTTTAAATTATGTTTTTTAGCCTATATAGCTGAAGGTTATAATGGCATTGGATCGGAAAGATTGAAATTATATATAACTAAATTAAAATTGAGCTTTAAAATTTTGCACATCCACTCCTAGGATGTTTGGTATTTTCAAGGTTTAAACGCATTTTACGATCGAATTGGTTTTATCTTGGAATTCCGGTATTCCAGGAATGTGAAAAAAACAAGCGATACAGATATATGTTTTGCAATGAGTCCCATATTGTTGTTAGTCAAATCTGTATTCGCTTTGTTTCTAAAATTCTATAAGGCGTTGATTTAAAAAAAATGTTTTTTTAGAATTCCACAAGGCGTGGATTTAAAAAAATATATATATTTTTCAAGAATTCCACAAGGTCTTGATTTTAAAAAATATATTCTAAAGAATTCCACAAGGCGTGGATTTAAAAAAGGTATTTTTTAGGAATTTCATTAGCTGTCAATTAAAAAAATATTTCTTCAAGAGTCCTACAAGGCACGGATATTGAAAAAAATATATATTTGGTCAAGAATTCAACAAGGCGTGGATATTTTAAAAATTTATGTTTTTTCAAGAATTCCACAGATCTTTGATTTGAAAAAAGATTTTTTTCCAGGAACTCCAAAAGGCGTTGATTAAAAAAATATTTTACAAGAATTCCACAAGGCGTGGATTAATAATAACCAGTTTTAAACAAACATCGATTATTTTCCTTTGGACCAATTGACTATTTTTACATGGGGATGAGCGGGGTTGTGCCAGTTAATTTTCAACTAGTTAAAAACAAGTTATTTTATACCGATTCATAGTCAGGTTAAAAAAGTGCAGTTATTCATCGGTTAACCCTTTCTGTGTTTTTATCGAATATATTCGACATTTAAAATTACTCTCTTCCTTTGCAATTTTTCGGTTATCATATGTACCGTTAAAATTGATGTCTTTGTTTTTGCTGAAAGATTTGATTCCAACGTAATACTAGTGTCAATATGAATTTGACAAATAATGTTTTTAAAAAATCACCCAACAGGAAAATTGGGAACGCATACAATTTGAAATTGTTCTTTATTAATGTGCTCCCGTATTCAATTTACTCAATCTGCCTGCTGGGAAAGTTTGAGGAAGCAAATCTTTCTTGAAGGAATAACTCGCTATTCCCAGCATTGTCATATGTGTTACACATATATATGGCAATGGCTTAATTAAAGGAAATATGTGGAAGCGATAGAAATATGAATTTGATAGATGTTCATTCATGGTTTTCAATTTTTATTTTGAGGATTCGAAAATATTCCATTTTCAAAATAAAAATAATTTGATGATAATTTGTTTGTTTGTTTACATTTTTCTGTCAAATGAGTTGACACTAGTAGAACTAACAACAACAAATTTCCATGTGGTTGTTGTATCGTTTTTTGTACAACAACACTTGCTGTTACCTTTTATTATTATACCATGTGTATCAGTGAACTCTTCTACTGTGAAGGAGTCACATAGTTGCGGGAAGCATCTTCTTTTGTTACTAAATTTACGAAATCTAAAAATTACATGCGCAGCTGTTTAGATTCTGTTGAACGACTCGGACTTTATAGGTTATCCGTATTTGAAAACACACGTGTTAGTTAAGCGAACGCTTAACAACCGCCATTTTGTAAAAATCTATTTTTTAAGCCCGTGGGCGTATAATACTCATTTAAACTTTTTTAGGTCACGTCTTTCTTGTGAGCCGTCCGAGGACGAACCGAAAAAAATAATTTGTTTGTAAACTAGTTAATGAAAGACTTACAGTTAGTTAATGAAAGACTTACTTGATAATTATCTCTCACTTACGCTCTCACACACTTACTCTCGATTTAGTTCTGTTCAATTAAAGCAGTGTTGGGCAAAATTAAATTGAGAGCAAGTGTGTGCGATCGTAACTGAGAATTCACCATTAAAAACGACTAACGTAAAGAGAAAGAAAGAGAAAATATGTTTACCAATCGACCCTCCGTTACGGTAGCGTATATGGGTGAGCATGCCTGGTTTAGTTACTAAACTTTAATCTGACATCGACAGTTCATATTCTCAGACATCAGTTGCATTTTACTTCTCAGCGGTGAATAGTCGTGTCGCGTTTTTCTCAATCGGCAATCTGTTATCTCAATATACTCAATACAACCGGTATTTTATTATATTTTTGCAAGTGCACACATACATATCTACATAAACATAAACAAAAATCTTATTTGCGATCTTTGTTTATTTAAGTTAAAATACAATTTTTTTTTATATTCTACACCATTCATTTATAAGTAAGAATTTTGTTTGTTTGTATATTTCTATTCATAATTATTTCAGATTGTGAGAGATTGCGAAATAACACAAGAATAGGAAAGTAGTATATAATTCCATAATTAAATAGAAATCCTCAAAGGAGAGGAATCCGCCCAGTTCAAACACCAAAGTTCCCCTATGCTTCTCACGTATTCCTCCCCTACCTTGTCGTTGGCGCGTATATAACGGCTGCTCTTCTTGAATACATTTAGCTTTCGTTAATTACGCATACGATGACCAACGGCTACAACACTTAAAGGCTAAACACAATGTTCGCGTTGAGCGTTTTTTGCTATCGCGTTAACGCACGCAAAAAGTTAAAATATATTTAACTCCGAAGCGCAGCGCACAACAACTTCGAGCGTTTGTGTTACCGTTTCCTTGTGGCTGTTGTATTTTCGATAACATATAACGCGACGGATGGCTCAACGCTAGCATTCTGCTTACCCCTTTATTGCGGTGTACACACTAGCATTTTTGAATGGCACTCTTGCCCAAATTTTGCTTGTTTGATAGTGTGGCCTCACATGTTTGTCATTCATCAGGCAACCACAAAAATATTTATGGTTGTTGGATAGTCAGTAATCGATAAAAAAGTTGACAGTCAAAAATGATAGTGTGTACACCGCTTAAGAGGTCCGTCGCTTTATGTGTTATCGAAAATACAACAACCACAAGGGAACGATAACATCAATGCTTGATGTTGATGTGCGTTGTGCTTCAGAGTTAAATATATTTTAGCTTTTTGCATGCGTTAAAAAAACGGATAAAGCGAACAATCTCCTTAGAGTCTAAACACAACCAGAGAGTCTAGAGTCAGCGACGGTCGTTTACCGTGTGTTTCTTATTGGCAACGGGAAATCCCGACGGCTGACGTTCGCGTCCAGCGGCTTGACGCTTGAATAGACTTTATTAATTTTTGGTCAGAGTCATACATATCAAAAACCAGTAAGGAAAGTAGTAAAGTCGGACGGGGCCGACTATATGATACCCTTCACCACTTTGAGTATATTCAACAGATGAATCCTAACAGAAGTCGCATGTTTAAAGGACCAGTAAAATGAAATTGGAACCATAAACACGTCATTCTGCAACCGATACTAAATTGTTCATTTGGTCAGATATAGAAGCTATATCTAAATCTGAACCGATTTCAGGAAACTTAACACACATCATTCTAGACCTAATTTGTTACGCTGTGCCAAATTTCGTGCAAATCGAAAGATATATAGGGACTTTGGTGCACCATTTACATTAAATCTGACGAAAGTATATGTGGGAGCTATATATAAATCTGAACCGATTTTCAGGCAACTTTACACACATCATTCTAGACCTAATTTGCTACGCTGTGCCAAATTTCGTGCTTAAATCGACTCAAAAAGTGATTCTATGCATATTCTCAAAAGGAGCCATGGGTCTATCTCGATTATTTTTGCATGTTACAAACATTTGCACAAAAACATAATACCCTGTACCAGAAAAAAGAATTTGGTTCAAGAACATCAAAACCTGGGGGCTACCAGAAAAAATTGGCCAATATTTATAATTTATAGTGGAGAGATGTGCTACCTAATAAGAACTCGACGTACTAAATTACAGTCATTGGTCGAAAAATTCGATCAGAACCCTCAAAATACCAAACATTTTGGGGTACCGTTATATGGGTACTACCAGAAAAACTGGACCTATATTTATAATTTTTAGTGGAGTAATTTGGTACCCAATAAGAACTCAATGTACAAAATTTCAGCGAATTTAGTTATAAAACGAGCCCAAAAACCCGAAAATACCGAAAATTGGGGGTGCCCTTATATGGGGACTTTCCGAAAAAATGGACCTTTATTTATAATGTTTGGTAGGGAGATTTGCTACCCAATAAGAACACAAAGTACCAAATTTCAGTGAATTCGGTCGAAAAATGCGATCAAAACCCCCCAAAATACCGAAATTTGGGGGTAATCTTATATGGGGGCTATCCGAAAAAATGGACCTTTATTTATAATTTTTGGTAGGGAGATTTGCTACCCAATAAGAACTCAATGTACAAAATTTCAGCGAATTCATTTAAAAAACGCGCTCAAGAACCTCAAAATACCGAAAATTTGGGGGTACCCTTATATGGGGGCTATGCGAAAAAATAGACCGTTATTTATAATTTTTGGTAGGGAGATTTGCTACCCAATAAGAACACATTTCAGCGAATACGGTCGGAAAATGCGATCAAAACCCCCAAAATACCGAAAATTGGGGGTAATCTTATATGGGGGCTATCCGAAAAAATTGACCTTTATTTATAATTTTTGGTAGAGAGATTTGCTACCCAATAAGAACTCAAAGTACCAAATTTCAGCGGATTCAGTTAAAAACGCGCTCAAGAACCTCAAAATACCGAAAATTTTGGGGTACCCTTATATGGGAGCTATGCCTAAACGTGGACCGATTTTCTCCAATTTCAATAGGGTTCGTCCTTGGGCCAATTAAGTGACCTGTGCCAAATTTCATCCAAATCGGATCATAAATGCGACCTGTACTTTGTTAACAAAAATACATGGACGGACGGATGGACAGACGGACGGACGGACATGCATAAATCGACTCAGAAAGTGATTCTATGCATATTCTCAAAAGGAACCATGGGTCTATCTCGATTTCTTTTGCCTGTTACAAACATATGCACAAAGACATAATACCCTGTACCACAGTGTGGTGAAGGGTATAATTACAGTGCTGTTAAAATATGGCATATGGCAGTGCTGTAAAAAATATGGCATATGGCAGTGCAATATAGATTTTTGCTTACTTTAGTCGAAAATTGCAATAATTTTGCTCCGAGTTCCTTGGCATTATTGTTTATTAAATAATAAATTGAATAAATAAAATGTTCTGTCAGAAAATGAGAACAAAATAATTGACATTTTGTGCCGCTAAAACGGCATTTACGTTAAACTTTTTACCGGGTTAACCTACTTTGTGAGGATTTATTTGACATATATGCAAAGGAATTGACAATTGAAACCCACTGGGTTAACGAAATCCGGTTAAATGTAAACGTACTGTTACTCTTTCGTTTGGTTTTTACGCCTGCGAAAAAGTATGCCGCTGACTCCTGTCTCTCTGGTTGTGTTTAGACTCTTAGCCCATTGGCAAACCGCCGTTGTAAAGGAGACTCAGCCTAATTTACTATTCTAATAAGAACGGTGGCAAACTCTTTTATAAAGCTCGATCCTTTCCAACTGCAAGCTCCGATCATCTTCCTCTCACTGACTAATACGCCGCTTGCTGTCAGCTTTGTCAATTAATGCTACTCCCTTATCATCCGGAACCAAAAAATTACCAGTCTACAAAAACTTATAATTACATTTGTATAAAAAATAATACGAACACCCTCCACTTATAAAATAAAACAAGCAACATCTTAAATGGCTAAACAGAATGTTCGCGTTGAACGTTTTTTGTTATCGCGTTAACGCACGAAAAAAGTTAAAATATATTTAACTCCGAAGCGCAGCGCACATCAACTTTGAGCGTTTGTGTTATCGTTTCCTTGTGGTTGTTGTATTTTCGATAACATATAACGCGACGGATGGCTCAACGCGAGCATTCTGCTAACTTGACAAGCAATACTAGTAAAAGTAATAATTATTTGCTGAAAAAAAATCTGACTGCAATTAATTCTTATCGTGGTTATTATCCACCAGTTGCCGCCTAATTTGCAAAGATAAGAAAAGTTCAACACTGTACAACTTCTCTAAAAAGAGAAAGATTACTTTCGATACGACATATCGAAATTTTGCATGTCAAAATGTAGGCCTTTGTCACACTTAACATGATCAACAAACTCAATATATATATATACAGGTTCCTGTTTAGCCTATGTATAAGTAAATCGATTTTTAACTAATCGATTGTGACTTTTGATCTTTGAGAAAATCGCCAAGACGACTTTTCAAGATTGACTTTCGATTTTCTTCATAAATACTTGGTTTATTATCATGAAGCCCAAATTGCCCAATAATTACATATTCCAGAACTTTATTTTATCTGTTGACAACAATTCATATAAAAATCAAAAAATTTATTTGCTTTGCTTTTGTCGGTAGAAGAGGAACATCGATTTTGAGCAGGTTTGACAAAATCGAAAGATCAAATATAGACTTTTGCGTCAGAGATAAAAATCAAAACGTCGACTTTTGCGCTCGACTACGTATTCCTAGTAAAGCCTTAGCTCTTGATTCGACTTTCATCTGCCCACTTTCCTTCTTTGCCGCTGTACGGAGAGTGGAAACTCCTTCGCTGTTCAGGGATGCACCACTGAATAGTTTTTATTGATGCTTTATTTGGATAGTCTTTTCACCGCCAAAAAGTGTTTCCTAATTCGTGAAAATAGCTTCTTCTGTATTTTGAGTATTTACTCAAAAATTGGGTATAAACTCATTACTGCCGACCCACAAAGGTACCCCTATTTTGAGTATTTACCCAAAAATTGGGTATAAACTCGTTAACTGCGGAACCACTTGACATAGGCGGCCAAAATTTTGCATACATGTTTTTAATGTCAAAGCAAATATAGAAATCCAAAATGTGGTCCTTGGGTCCAAGTTTTGATATAGCCCCCATATAACCGTATCTCCCGATTTAAGATATTTTTGGCCTATTAGACACATTTTACAACCAAATTAACTGTAATTTGGCACAAAGTGTCCTTTTGGGGTACCAAATGTCCATGCAAAAATGTATGTAAGTAGGTCCACGTTTACTGGTAGCCCCCATACAAAGGTACCCCTATTTGGAGTATTTACCCAAAAATTGGGTGTAAACTCTTCTTTGCCGCTGTACGGGGAATTGAAACTCCTAGTTTTCTTGGGCCTATATTTGGATAGAGTTATTCGTACTTCTCCACTACCTTTAGGTGTTTCGTATTTCGTAGAAATCTCTTGTTGGTTTAAGAGTTCGGGTTTCTGTCGACAAATAGTTGGCAGTAACAATTTGAATTCAATACGATCTCCAGTTCAATGCTTCTTTGGTTTTCGAACTGTTTGTTACGGCAGTCAACAGCGGGATTTCTACTTGTGACTGCATTCTCCGCAGTTGTGTTCTGACATTGATGCAGTGGCTATCTGTCCATTCATCATATGCAGCACTCATGTCTCAATTTTATTTACTGAATGACACGAGGTCGCATAACTCTCCAGCGTTAAGGGGATCATTATTCAGGGTAGCAGACCTTATGCATCTCCACATGCGGTGCAGGTACTTTTGAAAGTATCTATGGCATTTACTATTGGTTAAAGTTATAACTTACATCGCCATTTCTTCTGGGCTCTGGTCTTTTCTTCATAGGTCGAGTATTTCTGCACTTTGTCATATATTATCTTTAAGAATGTTCAGATGCATAGTTTTGTCCGTATTTCCATTCCAGTTGTGGCCATACATGCCCAAATCATAACAGTAGCGCCACCGTGTTTTAATTAAAGTTCTGTATTGGGCTTCCGCCAAACGTATGACTTCCCATCTGAGCCAAATATATTAAATTAAGATTCATCAGAAAATATAACTATATTCCAGAACTCATTTAATATATAGTTATTTGCAAAGGCTGGTCTGCTGACTTTTGACTTATAATAGGATCACACCGTAAAATATATATGTATAAAAACGATTTCATCTTACCATATCTATATTTTATTATAGCAAATTAGAATGGCTAATTCTCAAATATGTCCAGTGGCCAATCTTTCAAATACATCTGGGAATAGTACTATTAAAGTAAGGCTTGTTGGCAAAAGTAATTTACGCCCCACCCGTAATGGAGGGAAATACTTTAAAATGGAATTGCAAGATTCATCTGGAAAAATAGGTGCCACAGCGTTTGACGATCACTATTTTGATATGCTCGAAGACGGTAAAGTCTTCCTGATCCAATATTTCAGAGTAAACAATGCCAATAAACAGTATAATAAATTAAATCATCAATATGAAATTACATTCACATATTCGACTCGAATCTGTCCATCGTCGGATGAAGATGTCCCCGAAATAACTTACAATTTTAAAGAAATATCGCAATTGGCCAATGTGGGATTAAATGATTCATTTGATTTGATTGGTGTATGCCAAAGAGTTGGAGAAATGCAAACGTGCGGCCAACACCAGAAACGTCTTTTGACTTTGGTGGATAGAAGTATGGCGGCGGTAGATGTAGAAGTATGGAATGATGAGGCGGCACTATTCGAGAATAGCCAGCATCCAGTTGTTCTTGTAAAAACAGGCAGTATTAATGAATATCACGGAACGAAAAGTGTCAGCACTAATAATGCTCTAATAATCGATCCTCACATTAGGGAGACAGATGTTTTAAGGGATTGGTTTCTTAAAGGTGGTGCGGCAAATATTCACAGGAACATATTTGAGTAAGTATCGTAAATAAAATGTGATATGTTTAATTACACTGTGCAGCACTAAAATCTTGAACCAATCGAGACCCCCAAAATCTTGAAGCTTGTGATGGTGGAAGAAAATCCCTAGCTGGGTTTTGCATTATTAGCTAAGTTTTTTTTTTAAATTTAAAATTTTTTTTTTAAATTTTTTTAAATTAATTTTAGCACAATTTTCGAATAATACTATATCTATATCTCGTAAACTATTCGAAATATTGCTTTTCTCTCTTAAGCAATATTTTTCCTCTTAATTAGATCTAAAAATTTTCTTTTGAGATAAAATCAATAAAACAACACCATCATACTGAAAATAGCACAACTGCAAGAAAATTAAAATTTCGACTTACTTTTTCCATGTTTAATTTTTACTTCAATTTTGTACCTATTTATTGAAAAAAGCATAGCAATTTTTATTTCTATAAACATACAATTGGGAGTGAATTTCTTTGGTTCATTTTGATGAATTTGTGAGGCTATAACTATGTGAAGGAGTCAACCAATGAAATCGGTGTTTTAAGAAGAGTTGTTTGATTTGCTATTGGCTATCTTTTTGTCATATATTTTTTGTCCGAGTCAGTAGCAGTTTCTGAAATAAGTGTGAAAAACATGGAAAAAGTATGTCCAAATTTTAATTTTTTTTGCAGTTGTGCTATTTTCAGTATGATGTTGTTGTTTTATTGATTTTATCTCAAGAGAAAATTTGTAGACCTAATTAAGAGGAAAAATATTGCTTAAGAGAGAAAAGCAATATTTCGAATAGTTAGAGAGATATAGACTCAATAATAAGTACGTATTATTCGAAAATTGTGCTAAAATCCTCCCCAGTCGAATATTTTAAAAATTAATTTAAAAGAAATCCTTAGCTAATAATGCAAAACCCAGCTAGGGATTTTCTTCCACCATCACAAGCTTCAAGATTTTGGGGGTCTCGATTGGTTCAAGATTTTAAAGTTGAAAAATGTGTCACTGTGTTATATTTATTATTTTGATTTATTTTTTTACATATACACACACAGTTGTGTTCATTAAAATACAGCTGGTTTGTTTGTGACAGAACATTTGTTCCATAAGCTGAGTTTAAAAAAATATTACCGACGAGTCGGTATTTTGCGCACCTCTTCCAATTTGAAAGATCATGTTCCTAGATATAGTCTTTCACTTGATCTTTCCATTGAATTCGTGGCCTTCCCCTAATGTGCGAGCCGTCCGTTGTCTCGCTGTTGTGCTGAGGCATCCTCATCCATTCTCACAACATGACCTAGCCAACGTAGTCGCTGCAGCTACATACGTCTGGCTATGTCAATGTCTGAAAATATATATTACAACTCATGGTTCATCCGATGGCGATATTCAACGTCGACACAGATCGGCTCATAGATCTTTCGCAGAATTTTTCTCTCAAACACTCCAAGAACTGCATCATCTGCTTGTGCATGTACCAAAGCTTCTGATCCATACAGCAGCACGGGTAGTATCAGCGTCTTGTAGATTGTTAGTTTGGTCTGGCGAGATATGGCCTTGTTTCCAAATTGCTTACTTAGACCAGTAGCATGTGTTGGCTATCACTATTCTCCTCCGACTTTCAAAACTGATGCCATTAGTTATATTTATGGCGCGGTACGAGTTCCACGAGTTGTTTTGTGTGCAGAGTGTCATATCTGTTCACCTTTTCTTCTCGTATTACCTTTTCCAGCTGTATGTTAAAAAGATCACACGACAAACTATCATCTTGTACGTGCTCACCTTATGCCAGTTAAAGTTATCCTGCATAGCCGTATTAATTTTACGGCTTTATAGTCAACGATTAGTTAAAATGTTTCGATGTATTTTTCGTGGATCTTTTCCAGGATTTGGCGCAGAGTGAAATTTGGTCAATGGTCAACACGCTATCTGTATCTGTCACCATGTTTCCATTTTCATCTCGATAGGAAGATATGCATGCAACAAAGCCTTCGGTGGTTCGTACTATTTTCTTTCATTAGTATTTTTTTAATAGAAAAAAACATTTTTTTCCGGAATAAAAGTGTTGAAAATAATAGAAAGAAATAAATTAAATTAAAAAAAAAATAAAAAATACAACCGTGCACTTACAAATCAACTGCACTACTATTTTAATGAACACAACTGAACACACACACACACATATATATATATATATATATAATTTGGATTTATGTATATACTTATATTTAGACCTCAATGGCTCACATTGGAAGAGTCGTTTAACTTGGGCATGGATAAGAGAGAAGTCTTCGTGACCAATGGTGTTATAAATTTAATCAATAGCAACAAAATTGTCTATAAAGCCTGCCTTCTATGTAGGAAAAAAGTCAACGAAAACGAATATGGCCAGAATCGCTGTGAAACTTGTGACATGGATGTGGACGATTTCGAATATGCTATGAATTTAAATGTAAGTGCATAAAATTAAATGACAAAAAAAAATGAGAATAAATAATGAGAAAACGTCACAGAAAAGGATTGCGAAATGAAAAAAAGAAAGGAAAAAATATAGATCATTACAAGGTTGACAAATTAAAATTGCAGAAATGGTTCAAAAATTTCGAACGAAAAGCGGTATTGGTTTGGGGAAAAAACTCTTATTTCAACAAGTAAAAAAAACTCCATAATCGTGCAACACTTATAATAAAATATTTTTTTAAATATGGATTTATGTATCCTTGATATAAATATTTGAGTATTATTTTATAGAAATCTCGTAATACTCTTACCGAAACAAACTGCTCAAAACATACCCCCGAGATATGTCATCGGATCCTAATTTCATATGCAAATCAAGCAAGATAATTAACTATGCGTTTAAGTTTACAAAAAATGCGATCAATCGTACCAGACACAATCTCCAACCCATAAATAATTTGAGACATAAGAAGAGCTTTGGCCACCCGTTTTTTAACCCACAATGGAAGAAATAAATTCGTTGAATATAGCCTACGAATAGAAGCAAATGTCCTTCTCGGAACATTGGGTTTCGAAAGAAAGTTTGTCGTCTACAAAAATGCCCAAAATTGTATATCTATTTACAAAGCTGATCTTGTTCCCATCCAGATAAATATTTAAATCGTCTACATTACAACAAAACTTGAAAGGATTAAGAAGAAATTATCCAATGATCATTGCCTAACACGACTAATGGCGGAAACACATACAGTATTCCCCGCTTAATTACCTCCACGGTTAATTAATTCGATTTCAGAATACCCAGTTATTTTCAGTACAATCTCTTACAAAATTGCACGTTTAATTACCCCCTTTTAATTACCCATTTCATTTATTTGCCCCTAAATAACCTACCCCAAAGTAATCGTACCTTTAAATCCGTACCATGTAATTACCCAATGTATTTTTTTAAATCTGGCAACTTCACTTAAAATGGCTTACATTTGCTAGTGCACTTGCCACACATGTGCAAATAAAATCTATTGTTTTGAAAGTTTTCGTGAAATGTCTCCGAGGAATACATCTTTGTCTATCAAACTAAAGCTCCAGTTAATATTTCAAGCAAAAAAAAGAAAGAAAGAAAAAAAAACAAAACGCCAGTGTCCACCGATATTTACCCTTGCAGGGTATTTAACCAGGGTCCACGGATAATTTCCCTAGCGAGGTAATTAACCGTGCTCGCTTAATTACTTTCCACGGATAATTACTCAAAAATTCTGACATTTTCACTGAGGTAATTATGCGGGGTTTACTGTACATAAGTTGGCTTCGTATAAAAATTAAATTTATAAAGGAATATCAAAGTCAAGCCCTATTTTCAACACTTATATTTTTTTACAATTAAAGCAGCTATCTTAACATGCCAGATCTGAAGTCCCTTAAGGAAAAAATTAATTGAGTTCGCTCTTCGAATGTGATAGGATTAGCACTATTGTTGAGAAAACAAAAGCGGTGTACAATTAACATTATCAAATCACTCTCTGAGGCTATTAGTATACAAAATAAATATCAAGGGACCTAACACTGAGCCACTGAGGCATACCATACGTAACCGAAGCCGACCTTGAAGTTATGCCATTGTATACAACAAATTGGGATCTATCAGACATATATGATAAAATAAGTTTACCAGCTGCAATTGGAAATTTTAATTCATCTATAAGCTTTCTAATTAAAATATGATATACTGAATTAAATGATTTTGTCAAGTCCATCGAAACTACCTCAGTATCTTTATTCAGATTCATATTCCCTTTAATTATTTCGGTTGCATAAAGAAGTAACCTTGTGTGGTGGTGTGATTCTTGCGGAACGCAAATTGACCTTTATATATGTATCTACCAAACAGGTATACGAATTATAATTATAAACCAAGATCGAAAGTGAGAAAATTAATCATTCAGGGGGAAACCATGATAATTTTGTTCTATTCCCTTACATTTTTTATAACAGTGAATCTAGAAACATCTAGAGAGTAAGTAAAAAATCTAGAAACATTTCAAAATCGCTCCTAGAGCGAAAACATCTGGAATCAACACATTTAATCGGTAATTTAACATTTCGTCCTAACGAATTTCGAGAATGAAGCCGAATAATATTTTTTTTCTAGATATGTATTTGTGACTGGACTGCATGCGTTTGGGCTGCTTGTTTTAATAATGTCGCTGAACCATTACTAGGCCGAAGAGCACATCTGGTAGCAAAACTACTTAAAGAGGATCCTTTAAATTGTGAGGGGATATGTAATAAAATAAATTACGCCAACTATATCTTTAAATTGAGAACAGAGATTGTAAAATTGGATGTATGTATTTTTATTATTATTAGAAATACAATTATTGTTAAACAATTAATTGTTGGTATTCTTATTTTCAGGATGGCACAGAACGACGATTTTATAATGTAATATCGGCAGAACCATTGAATTATAAAACATATAATCAAAAGTTAATTGACAATATAAAAAGAATGACATATGTAGGGGTTAATTAAAAGTTTATGTAGTATTTTTT